GGCCACACTCTGGCAGGGCAAAAAAATCCTTAGTTAATTAATTTTCGTTATAGACAGCTTTATGCCTCATAAAGTATTTTTCTGAGGTCTGTCTTATCAGGTAAATTACTGTACACAGTGTATTCATTAATTTTCATTTTCATGTAGTAAAGGCTCTATGCCTTCATAAAGGACGTACTTTTCCTTTGTTTAAGGGTATTTGGGCAGTTTATTCTCTGTTGTATTCTCAAGCAAACAATACATACAAGTACAGTACAGTATTTTCTGAGGAAACACTCGTACTTATTTTTTTAACCCCATTCCCGATAACCCGGCATTTTCACAAACTCGGCCACCCTTCGGTCCACATTAGGCCGAGTTTTCGAGACTCTACTGTACTAAGAACATTCACTAAGCATTTTATGTTCTTTAATTAACACGTTCATTAATCAAAATGCCGGTGAATGTCATTAATTATCATCAATTTACTCAAAAGAGCAATTGTTATGTAACGAGTGTCTGGAACTACGTACAATGCTACTTTTCACGTTATTTTATGGAAGAAATCATTAATTTTATTCATTTTCATAATTATAATTAACATAATTTTAATCTTACGATTTATTTCTAATCAGTCTGCTAAAATAGTTATTAAGTTTTCTAAATTTAAAATATTGATAATCAAATCACAAGTTATGTATTTGTTACATTGATACAACGTACGATAAATTACTTTTTCGAGGATAAAAAGTTCATTATTTCCATTAATAAATGGAAATTTTTCACGAATAACAACTCAAATTTGCAAAATCAATCAAGAAATTTTCAAAATTTGTGTTTTTAGAACGAAAAATTGCAGTTTTTTTCAGTCGTTTCTGCAAAAAAGTACGAGGATCAGCCGGCATTTTTAGGACTTAAAATAGGGATTTTAAGAGGTTGGAGAGGAAAACCGAGTAAAATAAGGTTAGGAGCACGTGCTTACTTAGTTACACAATTAAAAAAGTTTTTAAAGTTGTATTTATTTAAACAAATTTTGATAAAACTCGAGACGATAAGAATGAAAAATGAGATTATCCATTGATTTATTAGCTTTATCTCCACACTTTGTGATGTAATAGAGAAATATTATTGCATCCTCATTAATTTTCTGCGTGTTTTTAATTTCTTACCCATTATATATATATATATATATTTCCTAGTACAGACTGCAAGCTTTAAATCATTACAAAAGGCAACGTGATAACTTGAGAAATTTGATCTTATAAGTTAAAAATTCTCAAATTTCATGCTTTTATTTTGTAAAATAATAAAATATTTATGCTTTTAAACAATTAAAATTTTTCTGTAAAAAATTTACAAAGTGTAGATCAATAATTAACTCAAATTCTTTCGGGGAGCCGCGAACTACAGTTTGAAAAGTTAAGAAGAGTTAACGTTATTAGTAAACTTGCCGAAAAATTCTAGAAATGTTTTTTTTACATAAGTTTAATTTCTTAAAATGAAATATATTAAGAAATTAACGTTTATTTATGTAATTTTTAATGTCTGTAAGATATAGGAAATTAATAATTTGTTTAAGTTTCTAAACCACTTTTGTGTTTTAGCTTTTCAACCTCTGATTTTTAGAGATAAATGTATTAGATGTTGGGAAATTAAAAGTGGTAACAAAACGAGCGGGATAGGGAAATATTCGGCCACTGCGACTCGAATAATTAACGATAAAACGGCATAAAATTTAGTTTTTTAAACAAGTTTCTCAGGAATAGAAAACAGGATAAATGTAGATAGCATTATCCTTGATGTCTGGATCCTTTACACAAAGAAAATATAAAGAAAAATAACTGATTAAAATGTCGCCTTTATTGATTTAAGGTCGTTTCTCTTGGCACGTGTACAACTTTTTTGAATTTAATTAATTATTATTATTTTTTTTCGGTTGGTGTAAATCATCATCATCATCAGAAATTTAATTTTTTACATTAATTCTTAACAAACAAGTTAATAAGGGGTGACGTTAGATGACGTCTCTTCATTGTTGCTAAGTGATTGAAACGTTATCATAAGTGACGTCTGTGCCAAACATGTGCAATGAGGTGACTTGTATTTGTTCACCCGATTGGTTAATTTCCTCATATACTCCACCCCTTTCTCTAACTAGTTTCTTTGAATGGAACTGACAGTCGATCCAATCGTCCTTTTACTCTTTCACTCCCAAAGTGCAAATAACGAGAGGTAAGTTTCGGCGCTTCTGTGCCAATTGCTCTTATATAAAATTTCCAAAAAATTAATTATTTAATAATTTAAAATTAAATAAATCGATCTAATAACCGCTAAACAAAGAAAAAAACATTGTGAATAACCTTGCAAAAGTTCTAAAAAAACATCTTGTAGTATTCTTGGAAGGGTGACGTTACTTTAAAGGTCACTCCATTGAATTTTCCATCATTTTTATCTTTTTTTTTGGTAATTTCGAGGGTTTGAAACGGGAGAGAACTTATTTAAAGTTTGAATCTTATGGCGTGTGCAATTATTTATGAAGTTAATACACGTAAAGGTGGAAAAATGTAGAAAAAAATGTTATATATATATTGGTCAAGGCCAAGGACACAAAGCTGAATCAAGGAGAAATGTCTGTTGCCAAGTTAATGGATTTAGTTCGTTTACTTCTTTAAATCTTTGATTTTTAAAGATTTAAATTTTATAAAACAATTACATTTACGTAATTCTACTTATTACTTTTGTTTATTTAACAATAACGTTTACCACATATTTTTGTTTTTATTATTTCACTTCGTACTTTGATTACATTAGTCATTTGTAATACTTGAAATGTATCCACATTTGTTTGTTTATTTATTTATAATAATTTACATATTCTTTTTTCACTTTTATTACTTTATTTGTAACGCTTTCGCCTCATATTTCAATTAAATTATTTGCATTATTTTGTGTCTTTATTTTCCACTCGCTACTTATTTGTCTTGTTTTCTGTTTACACTACTCACCTGACGCCTTGTTTTCCACTTAAGCTATTCATTTGTGTCGATTTCTGCCTTGTTTTCTACTCACACTACTTAATTGTGTCGATTTCTGCCTTGTTTTCTACTCACACTACTCACTTGTGTCGATTTCTGCCTTGTTTTTTACTCACACTACTCACTTGTGTCGATCCCTGCCTTGTTTTTTACTCACACTACTCACTTGTATTACTTTCTGCCTTGTTTTCTACTCACACTACTCACCTGTGTCGATTTCTGCCTTGTTTTCTACTCACACTACTCACTTGTGTCGATGTCTGCCTTGTTTTTTACTCACACTACTCACTTGTATTACTTTCTGCCTTGCTTTTTTACTCACACTACTCACTTGTGTCGATTCCTGCCTTGCTTTTTTACTCACACTACTCACTTGTGTCGATTCCTGCCTTGTTTTCTACTCACACTACTCACTTGTGTCGATTTCTGCCTTGTTTTCTACTCACACTACTCACCTGTGTCGATTTCTGCCTTGTTTTCTACTCACACTACTCACTTGTGTCGATTTCTGCCTTGTTTTCTACTCACACTACTCACTTGTGTCGATTTCTGCCTTGTTTTCTACTCACACTACTCACTTGTGTCGATCCCTGCCTTGTTTTCTACTCACACTACTCACTTGTATTACTTTTTGCCTTGTTTTCTACTTACATTACGTGTTGTATACTATAATTGCTTTCATTCGTACAAACCTTACAACACATATATACATTATTTATTCCTTTTCCTTATTTTTAGAACAGAGTTCTATTTTAAATAAATCGAACAGAACATTTATTTATATCCTCCCTAATAATTATCATCTCGTGTTTATTATCGAAATCATTTAATTATTTGAACAAGAACTAAGTGTACACTAATCAAAAGCCATTACATTTATGTGTATATCTGTACTTAAATTATTATAATTAATTAAAATATACATTACCTCGTTCCCATTAAAGAATGTAAAAAAAACTTTTCTGGTTTTTTTAATATTAAATAGTACATAACAGAAATTAGGTTATACAGAATATTCGACAGGGAAGCTTAGATTATAAAAGTTTATTTATGTATTTATATATATATCCTGATCGTATTTTAGATTAGAAATAAAATTAATTTTATCTTTAAAAAAAAGCGGAAGTGAAGTGCAGCCGAAGGTAGTGACGTTGATGTAACAGCTGTTCGATACGTCATCATTATAGTATGACATAGGTCAAGCGAAACTATACAATCGCTATAGGCTTTTACACGTGGAAAAGTTTAAACATTTGCAGTGTAATCTGTTAGAAACGTTCTAAAGGTTGTGTTCTAAATAACAAATTTAGGTTTGTTTACGGTTTACTTTAAACTACTTCCTTATTTTTATTTTATTTTATTATTTTTTTTTCGTGTAAACACAAGAGTATTTTTAAAATATACTGTAAAATATGAACATTGTAACTGTATATTTATGTGTAATTTGCATAATTCGATCAGGCAACACCAAGAAATTTGTTTACACTATGCAAAATCACGTTGTTAATTATTCAATTTTGCGCATTTTTTTTCCTAGATGTCGCTATTCGGGTATACATACATTGGAAAGGTTAATTGCAACATAAATTGCATTGCAAGGTATGCAATATTGATGTAAAAATCGAATTTATGAAATAAAATGAATTTATTAGAACATAATTAACCAATTTTTATGCAATTTAAGACTTGCAAATATTAAGTATTCTGTTGCAACATTGGCAAATATCTTGGAATATTTTATTGAAATCTGTAAAAAAATCAGGTTTTGCAGTTAAAAATCAATTTGCCAATTTGCTCAGACGTGTTTTTATTAACCAGCGGGTCACGAACCATATTTATTGTGTAATGTCATGGACTTCTAGTACATGTAAAGAAGGTCGTCAACTCTAGAAGGTTGGGAAATTCTGTCTGAGTTCATACCTTTAATTTAATGATTGACGTGTTTAATATGTAGCGTATGAAATACTTACCATGAATTCGTTTCAGTTCTAGGGATTATCAAAATGAGTCTCTCAGAAAACATGACAAGAACCTTATGGAGGGCTGCTGATGCCATTTGTTTCGATGTCGATTCCACCGTTTGCCAAGATGAAGCCATCGATGAACTGGCAAAATTTGCTGGAAAAGAGAAAGAAGTTGCTGAAATGTAAGCCAAGATGGACATCATTGATATTCTTCGATAACTATACTAAAAAAATGTGGATTTTAAGTGTAAGATTTGTTATTAATCAGGACCCAAATAGCCATGAGAGGAGGGATGTCGTTTCGAGATGCCCTGGCTCAGCGGTTAGAACTGATACGACCAACTGGAGCGATGCTTCAGGAGTATCTGAGGAGTCATCCACCTCACTTAACACCGGGCATTAAGTAAGCAATTCATAAAAAAACAAAGTGCAATGTGTACGACATTATGAACATTATTCATATGAAATTAAGATCACTGAAATTTTCATTTATTTTTAATTTTTAGAGAACTTATAAGTATCCTACACAACCGCCAGATTCCCGTATACCTAGTATCTGGTGGATTCCACGCAGTTATCGAACCTGTAGCGGAAGAACTGAGCATACCAATGAAGAATGTGTTTGCAAACAGGATTAAATTTTATTTCGATGGTAAGCTGATGAGAAATTTTTTATTTATTTTTAGATATTTGTGATATTTTATTTGTTTACTTCGATTATAAACAGGAACGTATGCTGGCTTTGACGAAACGCAACCGACTTCAAACCAAGATGGCAAAGCGCAAGTTGTCAACCACCTGAAACAAACGTATGGATACGAAAGATTGGTTATGGTTGGAGACGGAGCAACCGATTTAGCTGCTTGCCCACCTGCTGTAAGTGAATTTTTGCTGCAATTAATTGCTTTTCTGCTAATTTCTATCAAGTCAATGCACCTAATCTCTGTTGCTCCTAATCTTTGCTGTTACTTATCTATTCGACAATATTGATTATATAACTCTGCTCTATTATCTTAATTTCCTCGATATGAAATTAAAAATCAACTTAAATGATAATAATTTCGTATCGATACCGCATAGTAACAGCGACGAATTCTCTTCAAGCGGCATTTTACAATTGAAAATTCAGTAAAAATGAATATTGAATATATTTTCTCTTAAATTACAGGAAGGTTTCATTGGTTTCGGAGGTAACCAAGTCAGGGAAAGTGTTAAAAAAGAAGCAGCATGGTTCGTCACAAGTTTCTATGAACTGATAGAAGAATTAAACCGGAATTAAAGATTTTTAATCTGTATTTTAAGAAACAAAAACTACATTAACACCGAGAAAAACCAATCAAAATTTTATTTATAATTGTAATTACCATAACAACAAAAGATGGTCTTCTATATTTTTAAACGTATTATTTGTTAAAGAATTTAATAAGTTTTATGGACGGAAAGTATTTATATATTAGTAATGTTAGATAATTTATATTTTCAAACAATTTTGTAAAAATATATTTTATATTATATTATATATAAAAGAAACCCGTGTAGATATCTAACTTTTTATACTATAAAGTAATATAAAATTATATATCAGATGATATTTTTATCTGTATTAACGTTCTTATTCTAGATTTATACTAAAAAAAACAACCCCCTCCTATTTGTACTAACGGGAAACGGTTATTAATAAAACTCTTTCAACATATTTATATTAATTTTTGTTTGTTTTTTGTGTTTTACATACAAATATTCACTTAAGATTTAATGATTTTCATAACGTGTTTTCGTCTCGGTCAAAAGAAAATATACCTCCGAATCTATGGGATCGTACTGCAGTACCGATATTGGTAAAGGTCAATTTAAAGCATCTCTTCGTCTTGCATACTTTTCGCGAGAGGAGGTTTCGGCCTTCTCAAAACGTCAAGAAGTGACGTGGTACGTACGGTCCCAATATGTTTTATTTCACGAGTTTATAATACAGTATTACCATCTTTTTTAATACTCTTTTCGTTCTGTGGGCACTAAGAAGGCCTTCAAGCTCAACTAGATCTAAAGTAGGGTTACTGGTTGATGAGGAATGGGCCCAAACATCCGTTACAGACCATCCTCAAAAAGTTTTCGAGGGTTTTTTGACCCGGCCGGATTCGTTTCCAGGTCAATAGAACAGCTGCCGGCAACTTAACGCCTGTAACAATGTACTAGTATCTAGTTTTATATCCCCTGCATTAATATCTCGTAATTATTATCGCTTTTTGTCTGAGTTCATGTTTTCTGAAATAGCCCAATTTTGGGCTTAATGCACAGACTTATGATATCTTGTAGGTTAAATGATCAGAGATTAACTTCAAAAATACACGTTTTATTATTATTAGAAATGCTTTTTTTTCCAATTTAATTCCATACAAATCTTTAATGAATCAAAATTGTATATCGAACGCTTCTGCCGAAAGTCCGGACCGGCTTCGATCCTCGATCCTTCACATAGAAAAGTTCGGAGCTCATGCCGTTGAATTTAATTATTATTAATAATTAAAGCAAAATATTAACAGATAATGTATATAAGATAAATTGTGTTTATGTTTTGTGATTAAATTAATTATTTGAATTTTATAATAAATGTAAATAAAATATTTTTTCAATTTGAAAAATGTATCTGTTTATAATATATGAACGAATTAATCACTTATTATTTATTTATAATCACTAAGATTAAAAAATATAATAATGTTTCCAAAATAATTAACAAATTTTATATTTACGAATAGAAATTTTGAAATTGGAGTATAATAAAAATTCAATTTCAGCCACTAGAGTTCGAAGTGTAAAGTTTAATTTAAATACTACAAAGTGATTTGCTAATGAAATCACGTGATAATTACGTAATTCGATTAATCACGATTTGTCGATTGTTATATTTTCAATTATCTTCGAATGAAATTAAATTAAAACGACTAAATTATTTTTAAAAATACCAGAAATCAATAAAAATTAATTTTACCGATTATATTTAATTACTTAATTAAAAAAAGAAATATAATTTTTAAAACCATGACAAAAATCATCATTTTTATTAGGAAATTTTGTCAATTATTAATTAAATTAATTTTTAAAAATTTTTAAAATTTATAATTAACGAAAATAAGTATTTATTTTTAAATTATAATATGAAGTTTTTAAAATTTTATAATTTGTAAAAATGTTTTCGACACCAGATGTCGCTATGAAGGTCGTTTGATACTGTCGTTTGGTTTAAGATCGCTTCTTCGGCTCCTATAATTTAATTAAAGGTAATTTATGATATTTTTTACACTTAATTTGCGATTTATTTACAATAGAAATAAACAGAAACGTTTATAAAGTAAATAAAAGCGGATTTATTGATGTAAATTCGAATTTTACACGTGAAAATCGTTAATTCTTATGCGTCATCGCTAACAACAAAAGGCTGGTAATTGATAAATGAATAAATGAATTATAATTAAAATCAATTGATATTTTAAGTGTTTAACGTTAATATTTCGCCTTTATATGATGATTTACGTGAAAATATGACGTCAAGTGTAGCTTCTGTGACGTACTACAATAGTGCAAGTGTTTGGTGAAGATCAGCTGACTGACACCAGTTTTTTTTTTATCTTTACCTGAATTGTATTTTGTATAAATGTACTTGCATTAATGCCCGATTTTTAATCAGTAGATGGTGGAAATATGTCGGTTTACATTTAAATATAATATTTTACAGGAAATTCACTAATGTTTATTGTTTTGGTAACGTTCCAGGATAATCAATAATGTTGAAAAATTTATTGTGTTTTTGTTGTGTGTTAAACAATGGAGGGGACTTGCACAATAGAAAATCAAGTAAATAGTTGTCTGGTTCTATGGTTATTTGCTTGAAATGGCAATTTTTATGTATCTGTATGTGATAAATGTAAGTGTATTGTGTTGAGGAAGGAAGATGTGAATGCTAAATGAGGAGTTTCCCGTTGCCAGAATTGTAGACAACATGTATAAGTGAAAATCTGGAAGGAACCGTATGTGTATGTGTGACTCTTTGCCAGATATTTGCCTCCGAGGGTTGGTTTTTACCTTGTGTTGGTAAAATGCCTATTCTCCGTGTTCTTCGTGTAGTTTTGTGTGCTTTGGTGCTTGCCATTGCTTACACTGAAGTGTCCTTGTTGGGGTCGGCCTCTGTATTGCTTAAAACTATACGGCACTCCACGAATGGTCAGTTTGGCTACTCGAAGCTGGCATAGTTGTGTGGGCTAAATAGTTAAATGCGATAGTCTTAATGGAGCGATGCAATTTTGGGGGCAATCTTGTGAAGGGCCACATGTATGGGTATTGTTCCTTTGACATTTTTACTCCTATGGGTACGGTCTATGGCTCGGATAAGGTTCCAACTGTCTTGTTGAGAGCAACATTCCCTCTGATTTTTTTTTGTAGCTGAGCAGAACATATACTTCTCCGAGCAAAAAATTTTTTTGAGCAGATACATAGACAATCTTATTTTTTTTCTTTAAAAATTAAAATAATTAATTATAAAGTAAAGATTAAAATTCATTTTAAAACATACTTCCATACAAAATATTATCTTTTGTTAATGATTTAATGTATTTAATCAAAATATACGTAGAATAATCATATCGCAGACAGAGTGAGAAATCAGTAAACAACAATTCAAATCAGTGTGCATGTTCGCCTGCATGGCACATAAATTCTCGTGTGTGGCAATAATTTTAGCAGTACGCAGTCACATAGCTTAGAGGGAACCTTGGTCGAGAGGGGTAATTGTACTGTATTTTGTAGTTTTAAGTTATGGGATCTGCATTTCCTGTAACTTAAAGTGCAATCACTTTACAAACATTAATTTGGATTTAATTTAATAAAAATACTTTAAAATTGTTTAGATACTTTACCTGGCTGACCATGTGGTAACTGTGCACATCTGGATTAAAATCTGATTACAATTCTCATGATTTATTACTTTATATGGATAGTTTGACAGCCTAGGTGCAATCCTTTGTTCTAGCAGACTTCTGACCTGATCTATATACAGTTTTTAATTAGCTATTGTCTTGTGAGAGAGTAATCAACAATTAGCTTGAAGAGCTAAAAATATGAGTTGTTAACTTTAAATGTTTTGAAAGTAATCATTTTTTTTAAATGTATTAAAAAGGGTTAAGAAAAATTTATCTTAATTTTTGTATTTACCAAACTTGGGTATTGCACTACTTAAAATTATATTAAAAATATATAAATTTTGATAAAACTTTGATTAAAATTCATAGTTATCCTTTTTACTTTCCCGACTTTTCATTTGAGGTGAATGTTAAAATAACCATAAACTGGCATTTAAAAATTTTAAAACTATTACTTTATTTTTTCTCACAGATGCATTTTGATCCTCCAATCCTCATCAGTATGTTATTACACATCATTGGGCATAGCTTTGCCTATAAACAATAAATACTGTCATAAAACTAAAAATACAAAGGTACATAATGTTTTTTAAAAACCTTATGACTGCCACTTTACACAATTTCTCCACGACATTAAAGGTCTCATGTCTGTGCCATCCAGATTCTCACACATTTATACCCGTATTCGAATTTAATAAATTTACACTTTTATCTCTCAATTTTTTGACTATGACACTATTCTTTCTTTCTTCTCTCATTATTGTTTTAACAGAATAAAGTTTGTTAATTCTGTAAATTTATGTAGGACTAAAATTTCTATATTCTGTGGAAAATTTCATTTTATAGTCTTATTATTTAGCATTTTAAACTGAGAAATTTAAATTTGTCAGAAGAAAGCACAAATTCGGTCTGTAATCGCACTTGTAGGATTGATCTTTTCATATTACCAAAAGATTTGTTCCATGCTGATTGTTCATCTATATTTTTATGCCTGTTTCGGCTTAAAATGTAATACGTTGGCATTATTATCTCATGATTTATCAAATTACTTTACTAATAACAGCTCATTGATTTAATTAATGTTTCTCGAATTACATTGAATGACTGACTCCAACAGATTTTTGTAATTACATTCATCAACACTTTGTTTTTATGATTTGTGTTAGAGATAAAATTTAAGGTGCATAATGATTTTAAAGTTAAATTTTATGGAGTGAAATATTTAAAATAATTAGTTTTGAGTTTTTTAAGTAAGAATAAATTTAAAAAATAATGTAAACCCCATGAAATATGTAATATTCGTCAGCTCTGTATCCATGCTCGGTGCATGTATAACAATAATTGTTTCAAAGTTGCATTGTAATGTTCTGAAAAGGGTTTAAGTTAAATACTTATTACTGGCAAAGCTCATTCAAACTGA